TATGGCCTTTCCTTGATCTTATTAGCCTATTTGACCTATTTACTACCAAATTGCAGTGTTTTAAAATCCCAACTTTGAAATTCACCACAAGATTGTTCAGAAACAGCGATCTATAAATCACATGACATACTTGTTTAAGAACACACAATGGTGAGGTTTGTCTAAAACAAAATTCATCATAGCTTAAAATGCCTGGCTACCATCAAGTCTTTATCAAGCCACCTATGATTTAAGCTATGTTACTTCTGTAACACAGTGTCCATAGTCCATAAAGCCTGGTAACTCCTTGCCCATAGGGAAATTACTTTCAATGTGTCTTCTGTTTCTTTTTACTGAATCCCATGATTCTGTCATAGAGTTACCTTGGTGTCACCTTGGTGAGCAGCCAACCTCATGATTTCAAATGCCTATTTAGGTTTAAGCTTTCAACTGCAAAGTAGAAATGTTTATCTTTATTCCATAGAATCTAATTATAGTCTTAGCTATATAATGCTGCCCTTCGACTTGAAATGTGTTCTGCTGACCCATCATCCACAGGGTATGTGGGTTGAGCCGTTTTTCTTATAGTGATGATGGATTTGTGCTGATCCTCTCACATTCTTTTATATCCTAGTTCCTCTTTTGAAATGGTACATATTTTCAGTGCTGCCTTGCCAAGACAAGGAGGTCATCTGTGGCAGGGAAACAAAGCAAAACTAACTTTGAAATTCATGATTTTAGATAATTTAGTAACCAAAAAATATGAGAGGAACTGGAGGCAAGTATAGAACCAATCTATTGCATCCGTGGCCACAAACATGTCTGAGGGTGAAAAGGGATCACTGAAAATATATTTGACTCGTTTTTGAAGAAAACATAATATGGAAACATTTTTAGAGTTTGTATATTAGACTTGATATTGTTGGTTATACTATCCATTTGTGGCTTCAGCACGATACAACTAAGAAATACGTATAGTTATTGATATTTTATCTTATTTTTACTATTTGTGAAGCTTTAAATTATTGTTTACATCACTTTATGGATTTTATAACTTTCATTTGTTTTTTATCTTGAAAAATAACCAGCTTATACGTCTATATATCAAAAATTATAAGTCTCATCAGTACAGAGACTATGGTTTATGAAATATGAAATGTAGAAGTGATTTTTTTATGTAATTATAAAATTTTCACTTTTAATTTTTCTATAGATGCCAATAAAATGGATGGCTCTGGAGTGTATACATTACAGGAAATTCACCCATCAGAGTGATGTTTGGAGCTATGGTAAATAAATACTTTTTGAATTTGGGCTTTAAAGGAAAAACAACTATGTTGAGCTCATATAAAATATATTAAGCCACATTTGTTTTCTTTCATTAGAAATGGTTATTTATAAGTTTGATTGACTTCCTACATTTCCTAAAAGAATTAACTGTTTTATCTCTTATTAAAAAACACTCTAGAGAACATTTTATCTGGGATTTTTTGTTGTTATTTTTTGCTTTCCTAAACATAAAATACTACTATCTCTGCTTAGTTTTCTCTAAGTTCTTGTTTGGTAGCAATTTATCTGAATGTCTATTCATTGTTACAGACTCACAAGCCAGCCAACATTAGGGAGCATTTCATATAATCTCATGGCTTTTCTTCCTTTTGTTTTCCTTTTTGTTTGGTTTGGGTTTTTCAGACAGGGTCTCCCTGTAGCCCCAGGAAGCCTGGAACTCACTGTGTAGACCATACTGGTCTCCATCTCACAAAAATCAAAGGATTAAAGGCATGCACCACAACAGCCAACCATTTTAGTCTTAATTTTTAATGACTCTTTAAATATATAACTCTGAAAATAATGAAAATTAAAAAATAAAATAAAAACAAAACCATATTTTTATCTTTTGGCTTATAATTTATGTTCTATAGTAGAAAATACAGAGATTAGTATGGTAACAATGAACAATTAATGGACATATTAAAGTGATGGATGTGAAGGAAGTGATAGGAAGAAAGACTCCTTTTCATTTACAAACTACTTTTAGAATGACAGAAATATTAGAGTAAAGATTAGTACCAACAGAGATGGGTATTTATGATTAGAACACCATTTCATTACATTGAATTTATTACTAAAATGAGCTGTTTAGCAACTCTGTTCTTACTTACAACTATACAGGGAGGAATCAATGGCTTTTCTAAGTTTAAAAGTACCACATAAAACTCAAATTTGTTGCAAATAAAAAATACAATGCCCCTGAGTCAGCAAGATGTCTCAGAGGTAAAGGTGCTTGCTGCCAAACCTAATGACTTGAGTTCAATCCCTGGACCCCCTATGGTGGAAGAAAAGAATCACTCTTACAAGCTGCCCTCTGACCTCCACACACATGCTATATAGCATGTGCACACCCACATACATAAGTAATTAGATGAATGTAAATAATAAAATAAAAAGTGAAAACAACACAATGCCTGCTGTTTTGGTTAGTGTTAATTTTCAACATGACAGAATCTAGAATCACCTGGGAGATGGTCCTTTGGACATGTCTGCAGAGGACTATTTTGAATACATTAATTAAGATTGGAATAAGCACTTGCTGTGGGTGGAAACATTCACTAGGAAATGAACTGCATAAAGTGGACAAAGTGAGCTGAATACTAGTATGCATGCGTTCATCCCTCTCTGCTGCCCAGTTGTAGATGTAATGTAACCAGCTGCTTCAAGCTCCTGCTACCTTGGCTTTCCTACCATGATGAATAATGCTTTGGACTATGACCTAAACTAAGCTCTTTTCCCCATAAGTTGCTTTAGTCAGAGTATTTATCACAGCAATAGGTAAAGAAACTCAGACAGAAATTTGTACCAAGAAGTCAGATCACTGCTGTGATTAAACCAAGTCATGTTGCTCTTTGGCTTTTGGAACAGCTTTGGGGGAGGAATATGGAAGAGTTTGGAGCTTCAGGCTAGAAAAGTCATCAGACGTTGTAAGCAGAGCAGAATGGACCTTCTTTGTGGGAGTTTGGAAAATAGCAATGCTGAGAGAAATGCGGACAGTAAAGACTTCACTCGTGAGATTTCAGAAGGAATCAAGGATTCGATCAGAAACTGGGACACAAATTATTCATGTGATATTTTGGAAAGGAATCTATCTTGATTCTGCCCATGTTCTGAGAATGTGAATGAAGTTGAAATTCAATTAAGAGATTATTTGGCAGAGGAAATTTCAGTACAAAAGGGCACTCATGCTGGTACCAAGAAAGCAGCTATAATTGTTAAATCAATACCACTGAAAAAAAGTCTCCTGCACTTCACTGGGACATCTAGAAGGGGCAAAACCCCATCCACCTGAGGCTCCATGTAGTGAAGATTCAGTTTAAAGAAAGAAACCTAAGTTGAATGAGTTCCCTGCTTTTGCCTAGAAAAATGTTCCCTCGGGATCAGAACACAGAAGCTGATGCAGATGTAGTCCAGTGTGGTCAGGTCCCACCCCATGCTGGTAGCAGAACTTGGCAGTGTCATCCACAAGGTGCCTGTTCATAAGGCATGGAGGAAAAAAAAATTGAGGGGTTCATGGAGACCACCTGAGGGTGGGCAATGTTTAGCAGAGTTGGGGTCCCTACAGAGAGATCCTGAGAGGTCATTGTCTTAAGCTGTGAAGGCAATATTACTCAAATTTTGGCTTAATTTTTACCTTTTCATCCATCTTTACACAAGATATTTAAGTCATTTAATCACTTAAGGTCTTACAACTCTTATCTAGAAATGAATTGCTTATTGGTTAACAAAAAAAAAATATTTAAGACATTAAGCTCCTTAGTGGAGACCTCCAGCATATTAGTGATACCAGGACCATGGTGCATGCACTGGTGAGTGTTGTAGACATGTAATGGAGCTGGACCAGGACAGCACCTCTGTGTGCTGAGGTCAGCAAAGCTGGAGAGGCAAAGACTTTTGAAGTCCAGTCGATTACATTACCAGCCCCAGATGACAAACATCAACCTTCAGGAGTTGGTGTTTGCTCTACTAGAATTTTCTTTTGCTTTGTTGTTGTTTCTTGCTATGCCTCAGTCCTTCCATGTTGGATTAGGAATCTTTATTCTGTGTTATTATATGTTACAAGTGTATAACTTAAGTTTTACATTTCTAGGAACTACATTTAATAGACTTTGAGCTGTTAAACTCTTAGATTTATTAAAGCTTATGGGGAATTTTAAAGCTGAGCTGCATGCATTTTACATTGTTACATGGTCATGAGGTTTTGGGGACAAAAAGTAGAAGATTATATCTGGAAATGATGTGTTTGGGATTCAAAGTGAGAAGAGGTAGAGTTGTGATGCTGAGTGTTACTTGTTAACTTGATAGAATCTAGAATCACCTGAGAGATAAGCCTTTGTACATGGTGGTGGGGAATTATCTTGATTACACTGAGGAGGGAAAAGAACCATAGGGTGGGACCATTTCCTAGGCAAGGGATCTCTGACTGTATGCAGAGGAGAAAGCAAACCCAATTGCGGATGCAATGTGACCAACTGCTTCAAGCACCTGCTGCCTTAACTTTCCTACCATGATGGACTGTGTCTTGAACTGTAAGCTAAAATAAACCATTTTACCTTTAATTTGTTTTTGTCAGACTATTTTATCTTATCGAAAAACAGAAACAGAAACTAAGGCACCTGGTTAAATGAAAAGAGCGATCATGGAATTTAAAGCTGTAGTATAATTTATTCAAATTTAGGCTTAATTTTACCTTTCTTCCATCTTTACACAAGACATTTAAGTCATTTAATTACTTAAGAACTTACAACTCTTATCGAGGAATGAATCTGTTATTTGTTAAAAAGAAACATAAAGACCTTTAAATAAGGTGGTTTTTCCTTGTGTCTATGTCATGGGTCATGTTAAATTTTTCAGGAAATCCACAAATATTCTACTTAGCTTGGAAGTAGGAACAGTGTGTTTAGGATTTAGACAAATGCTTGAATGTTCAACTAAGCTAATTTATTTAACTACTTTAAAGAAACAAACAGAAAACCAAATATATAACATATATGATAGATTTATAGATAATAAAGATTAGAATTTAGGCCAATATTTATATAAATATTACCAATGTAGATCAGCATAAGTATGTGGTAGGAAGACTATATAACATTATTACAGATTTATCTGTTGATATATATTAATAAAAACTAGTCTTTTTTTCCTTATTTGTTTTTATGTTTCACTAAATTTAATGTGGTAATTTGGTAATATGCTGCAGGCAAATTTTTTCTAACCTCAAAATAAATAAAGGAACAAACCAATATTGGCTGAAGTATCATATTTTTAATAGTATAGCTTGTCTTTTAAAGAAAATCCTGTGACTCTGGATATCAATTTTATTCATGTTGAGTCTCAAAAATCCCACAGTCTGTTCAATGAAATGAAATAGGTTCATCGTACTGTGTTTTGAGACATAGCCTGAATCTCTACATGCATTCATGAAGTATCTTAAGATTCTTATGGTACAGTATGGTTTATTGCAAAAGGCATTAGAGACAAAGAATACTATATATTTTTGATTATAGTATGTTTTTTAAAAATTATCACTGTCTGTATCTTTCTTAATAATCACAAAATATGCATTAATTGTGATAAATAGCTTCAGATGATGAATTGCTATATAAGTTTTAAAACTTTCTGAATTAGTCTTTCTGAGATAGCCCTTTTACCAAGGCCATTCCTATTTAACAGTATCCCTTGCCACCACCCTAGAAAGATATAATTGGATTGATACAGTGGGTGGAGATTTTGACATTTTAGCCTTGGGTTTTGTATTTATATGCAATATATTTCATTATATTTTTATAATTTTGATATATAATGGCTTTGAATTTTGCTTATATCAGAAGTTCTGATAGAGATGTGAGAATACCTAATTTTCTTTAGTAGCCACATACATGAATCAATAAAATGCTCTCTCTGTGTGTAGAACCTTGACTACATTAAAAAAGAGCAATTGGGCTAGGGGTGGTGGTGCACGCCTTTTATCCCAGCACTTGGGAGGCAGCTGCAGGCAGATCTCTGTGAGTTCAAGGCCAGCCTGGTCTACATAGTGAGTTCCAGGACAGCTGGGGCTACAGGGAAAAAAAAAAAAAAAAAAAAAAAAAAAAAAAAAAAAAAAAAAAGCAGTCACCCATTTCTTAAGTTTTCATAGCCTGCCATTAAATTGCAAACACTGGCCTTATGGAGCAATTGGTTGGTATGGAAAATTAAGGCTTTAGTAAATATTAGCTCAATTGCATCACTAGTTACACATATACATTACATTGAAAAAAGTAGGTTGTAAATATTAATGAAATAATCAGATAAGTATTAAATAATTCTGTTAGAAAGGGTAATAAAGATGTTATAGGATTTATGTTTTTGTTTTCCAGCAATGGTGATTGTCATAAACATTTAAAATATGTAAACTATTACAGAGAGAAATAGAAAAGCAAAATAGCAGGCTGGAGAGATGGCTCAGGAGTTAAGAACACTGTTCGTTCTTGCAGAAGACCCACGTTCAAAGCCCAGCACCCATATGGCAGTTAACAACTGTCTGTAACTCCAGTTCCAGGGGATCCAACAGCCTCTTCTGTCTTCTGCAGGCACTGCATGACATGGGTGCACTTACCTACATGTAGGCAATACATGCATACACATAAAATAAAAATAATAAATAAAATATTTAAAAATGAAAAACCAAATAGCTCTAATGAATTTTATAGTATACATATATTAGTATAAAATGTATACGTATATGCTTCAGTCAGAATTATGTTGTAATAGTTATACCCACCCAGCTATTTCCATTTTAAAAATCTTTACCTGGGCCAAGGTTGTTGCTCAGTGGTAGAGAGCTGACCTGGGATGGTGAGGAAATAATCTTTAGTGTATGGCTGTTTTTCTTATTTTGTTAGTTAAAAACAGTCACCAAGCCTGGCATGCTGACTCATGCTATTAAAATCAGCACTTGGGAGACAGAAGCAGAAAGATCTTTATGAGATGGAAGTCATTCTGGTCTACATAGACAGGTCTAGGTCAGCCAGGGCTACACAATAAGACCCTGTCTCAAAACAAAACAAAACCAAAGACAAACCACAATTATCATAACATTATACAATAATTCTGCAATACTAGCATTGTCTTTTATGACTTTTCAGCCTAGAGGCTAATTTAAAACGTAATCCATGTCGAGGCTGGGCATGGTTGTGTATGCTTTTATTCTAGCATTCAAAAGGCAGAGGCAGGTGCTGGGCCAGCTGGGGCTACAGGGACATCCTGTCTCAAAGGACCAAAACCAAACCAAACCAAAAATTTCATGTCTATTTTACCTGAAATCATATTTATTTGGTATTTAACACACATGAGCACAATAAATGAATTGATTCTGTACCATACTGGGCTGTGGCATAATGGAACATAGTTTAGATCATTGAGCATCAACTTTCCTTTTGATATCCATGCTAACGTTTTTGTGCTGTGCATTAAAAATTCCAAAACAATAATAAGAGAATGCTACTGTGTATTCTCCCACGAGGATCTTAGCACTAGGATAGTTGTGCACTGAATGAAGGAATGTGAAGACTCTTTTTAACTTTCTTTTGTTTGATCTTTAGAGAACAATTTATTTGTTGAATTTATGTTGGTAATTTGCTTATGTGAGAATTTTTTTTTCCAATTTAGGAGTAACTATATGGGAACTAATGACCTTTGGAGGAAAACCCTATGATGGAATTCCAACCCGAGAAATCCCTGACTTATTGGAGAAAGGAGAGCGTCTGCCCCAGCCACCTATCTGCACTATTGATGTTTACATGGTCATGGTCAAGTGTAAGAATGGATAATAATGTCCTCTTCCTCATCATCATTCTTAATAAAACCTCAGTTTAGAATGTTCTATCTGCAAAATGTTTCTGTATGTTAAAAGACATAACAGCAAAAATAATTTTGAATGGGTCATATAAACACATGATTGTGGTGATTATTATTATGTAATAAAATCTCACTTCTAAGCTATAAAGTCAAAATTATATGGCTCTTAAAAACACAACAGAGATATAGTTATTCATAATAATGTTAGTGATGACATTGTTGTTAATCTTTATGGGAAAAGATCCAAACAAATCTGATAGCCTAAAAAATGAATTAAATGGAAATGGGTTTAATCAAAAGCTAATAATCAGTATAGAGTAGGAAGTTAGAAGAGATGAATCTACATTGAACTGAAGATTATAAATGTTTACTTTTAAGAATTTGATCATTTGTTTATCAGATGTTTTTACTTTTTCCTCCTATGCCCCAGACACATATGTATTATAAATGTGTTTTGCAAGCCTAGGTCCTTAATTTAAATAGAATTAGGAAAGTCTCTGGGGTTTCTGAGTTAATTTAAGTGAGATTAACATGCGATAATCTCTCTTGTATAATCTGAGGTTTTCCAGTTTTGATTTACACAGGGTTAAGAAAGATACGAAGTAGTGAAAGGGAATGAGCATTTTATTAGTAAGAGACTCTGGGCCCAGGTCTTAGATTTATAGTCATGACATGTGTGACACATTCTGACAGCGAGGGAAGAAATAAAAAATGCTCCTTGCAGTTCAGGTCCGCATGCCCTTTTCTCTAAGCATAGTTTTATTTACTCAATATTTAGCTAGAGAGAAACAAATATCTCACTGTGAAGTTAACCTTTTTTGGCTCTAGTAGTTTTATCATTAGCATCTTGGAATTAACAAGCATTTTATTTTTTATGTAGACTACTTGAGTTTAGGAGAGGAAAGTAGTAGGTGACACTAATGATATATAAAATGATACCCAAAGAATTCACAGAACAGGAAAAAAATTAATGCACTAGAAACAGCAGAAGAGCGCTGTATCTTTATTAGATAAGGCTCTGTTTACTAGAGGTCCTGGAAGAAAGCATAAAAGCATTCATGTCTAAGGTAATATCTGATCCTATAACCAGCATCAGAAATGACTTGGATACCCTGCTAAGATGATGTAAAGCGAGGCAAACACTTTGCCTAGTAAGGTACTGAGAATTCCACCTATTTTTCTCCCCCTGGAGTTTTAATGCTTTAGAAGAGGATCGTTTGGCAAAGAAATCAAAGAAAGCTTGGTCCTGTTAGACTCACCTCGTTCAGCTAAATAGAGCATCAAGGGATAAGATCCATTTTATCTGGACTCCCAGCTAAATAGTAATACATACCTTGAAAACTGCTGGTGGTATTTTTCCTGTATTAAGATAAACTAATGGGTGTTGCTGAACAAATACTGTGAATCATTTTGCACTTTCTCTCCAACCAGAAGAAAACTAGTATGAAACAGTTGCTTTCAATTCCCTTTTTTCCAACCTTTTTGTCAGTGAATTTATTTGACAACCACATATTTACTCCCACCTATTCCTGATGCTAAATTACAGATTCTGTATCAATCATTTGTCTATAACCATTAAAGAAAGTTTTAAAAAACATCTCCACGATCCAAAATGAAAACAACAAAGGTCTGAGGTCCTATAAATCTTCATAATTAGATTGGGCTCTATTTTCTAGGAAGAAAAATAAATTTTGAATCAGATCAATGAAAGAAAAATGAAGGACTGAGAGATGACTCAACAGTTAATCATGTATATTGTTCATGTAGAAGACCCAAGTTTAGTTCTCTTCACCCATGCAAGGCCGTTCACAACTACCTTTACCTCCACCTCCAGGGCATTGTTGACCTCTTCTGGCATCCGTGGGTACCTGCACTGCCTGATTCACACACAGACACACACACACACAGGCACACGAACAAATGCACTCACACCTACACATAATTAAATATAAATCTTTTACAATGTTGTCTGTTATTTTATATGACATTCTGTGGTGAATATCAATCACCTTATGGAGTTAGAGTCTTACCTAATTGGTTTGGTTCCCTCACTAGCTTTGTTTATCAGATTATTATTAAAATATTACTTTTTATACTTTTTCCTATATTTTCTCAAAATTTAATTTTCACTTCTCTTGTTATGCATGGATGCACTGACAGTTTTATTGTACATAAATTTCTAGGTTGGATGATCGATGCGGACAGTAGACCTAAATTCAAAGAACTGGCTGCTGAGTTTTCAAGGATGGCTAGGGACCCTCAAAGATATTTAGTCATTCAGGTCAGTACATTTGAATTTTCTTTTAAGACTCTCTCAATAACAAACTCTTGACCAAATGTAAATATCCAAACTTTAGAGCTTTGGAAATGATCACTTGCTACCAGATATAAAACAAATGGCCATATGAAATAATTTATGAATTGATGGTTCTAGAAATTATTAAGTCAGATAACCCAGGTTAAAGAAGGCAAATTCTACATTTTCTACTCATATGCATATCCTATGTTTTCATTTTTTGGCACATGCATATGTGTATGTTATCTTCAATCATGAAACTAGAAAGGGGAACATGAGAAAGGAGAAAAAGAGGTTTTAAGGAAGGGGAAAATGGGAGAAAGGGTAATGACATAAAAGTAGAAAGTCTACTTTTATATGACATAAAAGTAGAAAGTCTACTTTTATATGACATAAAAGTAGAAAGGACTGGGCCAGACATGGTGGCCCACATCTTTAGTCTCAGCACTCTGGAGGCAGAGGCAGGCAAGTTTCTGTGAGTTTGAGGTCTATATAGGGCATACCAGGCCAGCAGAGTGAGACCTTGTCTCAAAAAGAAAGAAAACAGTAGAAAGGACGATTCAGGAGAAGGAAGGGTACAAGCAGCAGGGGAAGAAGTGGAAAAAGAACAATGTATGAAAATGCCATACTGAAACTCATTACTTTGTATGCTACTATAAAAATATCTATGTACAGTATTTAAGCAATAACTTAATTCAAATGAATTGATACCCATCTGTGTTAAATATCAGGCAAAAGAACATTTTACAATTAACACTAGAAAAAAATGGATTGGATCACTTAGTGAATGTGACCATTTCTCTGTGGTTATTTTTACCTACAGCCTAAGCAGATGTGCTTTGAACATAATCATGTTTCCTTATCAAAACAAGGAACACTTTACCTTCAGAGAGCCCAATATGAGGACGAAAGATAGGTTTTAGACAATAGTGCTTTTCAGCTGTTTTCCTACAAATTGAATTGTACATGCTGTAACTTTTTAATCACATAATTTTGAAAGAAATATAAAAACATTTAGGAAGAGGCAATTTGGACAACAGTTCCACAGTGTTTTGCATTCTCTCTCCAGTCCTCTTCTTCCCTTCGCCATTTCTGCAGTTTTGAATGCCACTGCTCTGATAATGATGCCGTTAACAAGCCATGGCTTGAACTGACTTCTCTGCAGCATAAAATCAACCACAAAAATGAAAACGGATATTGATTGTGCCTTATTACTTATTCTTAAAGTCATAAACCACACGCCACCTTGACAATGAATCATTGTTCTCAATTTGAGATTAATTTTGTCACTCTTAAATCATCCACAGCCCTCAGCCTTAATGTTTATCAGTGGTGTTTATCACATTCTTCCTGTATTATGTTTCTGTGCCTTACACGGTCATAGCTAACCAAATTATTATAGGATTTTTTAATGCTTCATAGTTGTGCTAAAGAATTATTTTTTGAAATGAATGCATGAATTTTCCAACTATTTGTTCTTCTATTATATAAACTTGTGCTGAACCACGCATTTAAGATAAAGAGAAGAATAATTATTTGTGCATACCTGGTGGACCATCTTTCAGGGTGATGATCGTATGAAGCTTCCCAGTCCAAACGACAGCAAATTTTTCCAGAATCTCTTGGATGAAGAGGATTTGGAAGACATGATGGATGCTGAAGAATACCTGGTCCCTCAAGCTTTCAACATCCCTCCTCCCATCTACACATCCAGAGCAAGAATCGACTCCAATAGGGTAAGGAGGAATTATGTACAAGTACTATGTTATTTCTGAAATAAAGTTATTTACATGGATTGTAACCAGAACAATTTCCAAATAACTAGACCACTAATCATTGCAATTTCTAGATTAAAACCACACCATATCCACAAAAGATATATGGTGGTGCATGCCTTTAATCCCAGCACTCAGGAGGCAAGCAGATCTCTGTGAGACCAAGGTTAGCCTGGTCTAGATAATTAGGTCCAGGCCAGCTGTGGCTACAGGGAGACCCTATCTCAAAAACACCAAAAAAGAAAAAAATTATAAATCTCAATTTCTAAGATTAAAACTGAAATAAAATTTTGTTCATACAAATAAAATATAAATTCATATGTAGTAAGTTTTCCACTCTTCCTTTCTTTTCTCCCTCCTTCTTCCCTTCTTCCTTCCTTCGCTTTCCTATCTTTCTTTCTTGAAACAGGGTCTCAGTAGCTAGCTGGCCTGGAGTGCTGGGAGTAAAGGGATGCACCACAATATCTAGATACTATTCTTTCTTAAATGGATGATATGATGTATTAATCAATACTAGTACAACTTTTTGTCACTCATTGAAGAAACATTTACTTTTTTCTCTGTCAAGTGAAATACAATCACAGAAAACTATGTGATCCTTTAAACTATATCATTCATATTAAGAGAACTGCTAAAGCTTTCTGTCCTAGCTTGTTTCTCTATTGCTGTGACAAAACACTCCAACCAATACCAACTTGGGGAGGAAAGGTTTTATTTGTCTTTCATCTCCCAGGTCACAGTTCATCAGAGAGCCAAGGTAGAAACTCAGGGCAAGAATCTGGAGGCAGGAGCTGGAGCACAGGCTATGGAGGAATGCTGCTTACTGGCTTGCTCCTGTGCCCCTGCTCAGCCTGCTTTCTTATGCAACACAGGCCCACCTGCCCAGGAGTGGCACCACCTACAGTGGGCTGGGCCCTCCCACATCATTCAACAATCAAGAAGATGTCCCACAGACATGGCCATAGGCCAATCCAATGGAGGCAATTCCCCAACTGAGGCTCCCTCAACCCAGGTGTGTCAAGTTGACACTAGTGCTATCTAGCACAATTGACCCCCTGTCAACTTGACATACAAACACATCACTATTAAACTATAACCTTTCCAATTCTTGTCACCAAGATATGATGTTAACATTAATTTCATAAGACAGTACAATCTTAAAAGCCCCACAGTCCTTTAAAAAATCCAAACATTTAAAAGTCCATTGTCTGTTTTAAAAGTCTTCTCTTAACTGGGGGCACCTGTAATATCCAAAACAAGTACTGTCTTATTTCAAAGGGAAAAATTGTGCACACCTAAGCAAAACCAAAGTCCAAAGTAGCTCAAAGCTGAACATCTGGGATTCACTCACGGTCTCCTGGGCCCAAAGGGTTCTGGCAGCTCGATCTCTCTGACTCTGCTGTCCACAGAACACACAACTTGTCTCAAAGACGTAGGCTGGCTCCATTCCACACCTGCTGCTGTCCTTGGTGGTCATCCCATGGCATTTTCAAGAAGCTGGAGTCTCCACTGAAACTGAGGCTACACCTTCACCAATGGCCTCGTCTTGCCTCTTGGGGTACAAAGCCTCAGATTCTCTCCATGATCCCTTTAGTCCTGGGGTCTTCATTGCAACTGAAGCTGTGCTTTTACCTATAGCCGTTCCTGGCCCCTCAGAGTGCCAAGCCTCAGCTGCTCTCTGTGACCCCTTCATGCTTTCAATGCCAGAGCCATGCAGGAGACTTACACATTAACAAGTCCTGCTTCCAGCAAGAGATGGAGGCTCAGGTCCCCTCTCAAACACCACTTCTGTGTGCAGACCGTGAGGAAATACCTCCCAGAAGACTTCACCACAGTGATGCTGGTCTCTTGTTACTTACAGCTGATTTTTCAGCCTCAGCTAACCAGCATCAATTGTCCCAGTAAAGCAAAGGTTTACTTCGGTTCTGGTCTCTTCTTAATCACAGCTGATTCTTCAGCCCCAACCGACCAGAACCTGCAGATTCTCAATTCAAAATATCACAAAAACAGCCCACTAATCTCTGCTTCCCTTTGAAGCTTCACAAGCCAGGCCTCCATTGTTCACAACTCTTTCAGCATAACTGTTCCAAGATCCACAGCAACAAACTCTAAGCACTCAATGGCTTTTTCAGTCCAAAGTTCTGAATGCTTCCACAATCCTCCTAAAAACACCAAGGTCCGTTCTGTCACAGAAATGTTTAATAAAAATTTAGATGGAGGCTGTTTTAATTTGTTTCTCCATTGCTGTGACAAAACACTCTGACCAATATCAACTTGGGGAGGAAAGGGTTTCTTTTTCTTACATCTCCCAGGTCACAGTTCATCAGGGAGCCCAAGGTGGGAACTCAGGGCAGGAGCCTGGAGGCAGGAGCTGGAGCACAGGCCATGGAGGAATGCTGCTTACTGGCTTGCTCCCCTGGCCCCTGCTCAGCCTGCTTTCTTATGCATCACAGGGCCACCTGCCCAGGGGTAGCACTACCCACAATGGGCTGGGCCCTCCCATATCACTCAACAATCAAGTAGCTGCCCCACAGACATGGCCACAGGCCAGTCCAATGGAGGCAATTCCCCAATTGAGGCTCCCTCAACCTAGGTGTGTCAAGTTGACACTAAAGCTCTCCAGCACACTTTCCTAAGACATTGATTTCAGTTTTATAAGAAACTTCTGAGAAGAAATTACAGTTCATTTCAAATATTAAAGCCACTTTACATAAACAGCATTTTCACTATAGGTTGTCCAGTCCATCTGTTTATTATTAAAAATCACTTGTCAGGGTTACAGAGATGGTTCAGCTGGTACAAGCATGCACTGCTCTTATGGAGAACCTGAGTTCCATTCCCTGTATCCACAGCTCACAACCAACCACCTGTAACTCCCCATTCAGGGGATCTGACACCTACTTCTGTTCTCTGTAGGTAGCTGTACTTGCATGGACAGGCAGACACACACACACACACACATAATTTAAAAAAAATAAATCCTAGTTTGTGCTTGTAATCCATTCCACATATAGGTACCTCTGCACGTGAAGCATAGGTACACAATGGAGATTCAAAAAATTTTCATGGAACGTCTACATTCAAAAATGTCCAAGCACCATTATTCACTGCTGATAGGAGTGCAAATAAATACAGTCACACAGAAATAATTTTGGATGTTCCTCAAAAGGTTAAATAATAGAACTGTCATATGACCCGGCTATACTGTTCCTGGGCATATACCCAGAGAACTCTGTATCCTACCACAGAGATACTTGCACATCCATATTCATTGCTATTCTAGTTACAATAATTAGGAAATGGAGTCCACCTAGATGTCCATCAACGAATGAATAATGAAAATGCAGCACATATACAAGATGAATATTATTCAGCTGTAATGAAAAATGAAATTTGCAGCAAAGTAGATGGATTTGAAAAGCATATTGAGAGGTGACCCAAACTCAAGAAGAAAAAATTCCTATTTCCCTCCTATACAGACCATAAACTATAAGGCATTTACATAACATGTAAACAAGTATATGTGTGTCTATAGTATAATTTAGGAAGGGCTCAAGAGAGGATAATATTAGATGGTAGGGCAGGATAGGGTTAAGCCAAAGAATGAATGAATCATAAAAATCACAAAGCTAATGTTTATTCTGGTTTCAACTGCCTCATGGATTTTTTTTTCTTTTTTATGGTGGATAAGTGAATTCAATTTTTTTGAATAATAAGTAACAAGAACCAGAAATGAATAGATAAATAAATAATTGACAGTGAAAGTGTAAAAGTGAAGCGCCACAGTTTCAGAATGGCCATTCTGTTAGAAGTTCACTGTATGTGTAGAGCAAGTGTCTGAGTAAGTTCCTTAATCTAACTGTGTGATGTTTTTATTGGTGAATTAATTAGAATAAACTGGCTTTACTGTTTTAAAAAGCATCCAGCCTACTGAAAGCCACAGAAATACAGAATTAGTATTCAGCTTGACAAATGCTGTAATCAAATGCTTATTGGCTATAAAAGAGCACAGAGACATAGTAAATCTTAATCTATTATCAGTTTGTTCCACTGATAAGACATAAACATAACGTTTCATTTGTATCTCGAAAGCCATTTTTCCTTAGTTTCTTCATCTCAAAACATTATAAGGAGACTTGAGAGATGGCTCCGCAATTAAGAGCACTGGTTGCCTTTGCAGAAGACCCAGGTACAATTCCCAGCACCCACATGATGACTAGCAACCATCCCCAAATTCACCATTATATTTATTGCTTTAAAATATTTATTATTTTTATTTTATGTGTATGAGTGTATTTCCTGTGTGTATATAAGTGCACTGTGTTGTGCAATACCCATGAAGGTCAGAAGAGGGAGTCACATTCCCCTGGAAATGGAGTTATGGGTAGTTACAAGTTGCCATGTGGGTGCTAAAAACTTAACCAAACCTGTGTCCTCTGCAGAAACAGAGTGCTCTTAACTGTGGACCCATCTTTTCAGCCCCATATGTATTATTTTAAATGACAAGTTCATTACTTTACCTTTCAGTAGTCAAGTTTCAAGAAAATGTTTTTAATTCCTTAAAGTGAAATGGTATCAAGACAAAAAGCTTGAATCTTTTCTATGAGAAATCACAAGTCCAACTTTCTGTTTATTTCAATTTATAGTGCTTTATGCAAGAAATTCTTCATAAAAGTTGGCGCTAACTAAACAGAATTCATGAGACAAGGGCGATGTCACCTGGGAACACACGTGACCATTATTCAGTCTTTTTCTCTTGTTCTGCATTTTTATTTGCTACCTGCAAATTTCCTTTTACTCTTTCAATCCCTAGGAAGGCAACTGTACTGAATTAGCATTTTAGGTATGAAAAACTAAATTTTTAGAATTTTGTATGTGTATATGTGTGTGTGCATAAGAGTGCTTGTGGATGCATGTACCATGGTGCACCTGTGGGATGTAGAATAACCTCAGGTGTCTTC